CTGGGGGAAACTTTGTAAAAATGATAAGCAAAAAGCAGAGGATAGAGCAGCAGAAGAGAATCTCTGTCTTGCCTACAACTCCCAGCAGCCCCCAGCGTAGCTAATAATGAAGGATGCAGGGAAGTGTAATTAATCATCTTGAGGATCAGAGGTTCTCTACCCTATTCTCCAACTTTAATTCATTATATCTGGCGTCTTCTGGCTGTGTTGAACTGCAACACACATGGAGGGAATAGATGTATTGGTCAATATCAGTGTATGCTAGGATGTCTTTTAATCCTTGCACGCTTGGCATAGAGAGCACTTGTTAGCCTTTTCCATGCCTTGAGCAAATAGAAGCCAATTTTAGGTCTTGTTTGTTAGCTTTTTTATAAAATGGCATGGGTTGGTAGTTTTGACCAATGTCTTCCTCTTTGGTTGGCTGGTGTTTTTGACATCTCTCTGGTTAGAATGGCAATCAGAGTCACTCTTTGATTATCTAGGCAATTGAATGTTTTGTGCATAATCATATTCAATTCCTTTTATTCAATAGCCCCAGTGGGCAGCTTTTCTCCCTGTCACTTTTTCTGGACTCCAACTTTCATCATCCTAGACCACCCTGGTGTATACTTTTGCAACTTTTCCTAATATTTTTCCCTAATTATTTACAACGCCTGCTTTAAAAAAAAGCATTAGAATGGGTTTAATCAGTAATTCAGATTTGCTATTTAAGTAGCTATGCCTCCATTAGAAAAATGATTTACCTTATGCAGGCATATTTTGGAATGCTACCCTAGTGATGTTTTTTCATCTGCCAAATGGGTAAAGATTCCAGATGTCTATCAAGATTTTTCAAACCTGCTAGAAACTTGTCCCATTTGAAACCCCTGTAAAGCTTCTCCTGGTCACAGAAATGTACCTAGATAAGTAATCAGCTACATTTGAATAGTCATGTGTCTCTGAATTTTACGTTTTATGTGCTCTGGAAAAGGGGAGAATTTGATGGTCTTTAGGACATTCAGAAAAACTCCTGCTGTCCTATATACATTTTGGGGAAAAGGTAAATCTTGTTCAAGTTGAGCTCAGTTCTTGGTGACTTCATCTGATTATGTGCCATCAGGTTGGCGTGGACTCTTAGTGACTACATAGATTTCCTCCATAATGATCTATCCCTAACTTGATCCTTCAGGTCTTCCAATAGTGCCCCCATCACCACAGTAACTGAGTCCATTCTCCTTGCTGCTGGTTGTCCTCTTTTTCTCTTGCCTTCCACCATTCCCAGCATCAGAGCCTTCTGCAGAGACCTAGGTATTTGCATAAGGTGTCCAAAATAGGATAATTTGAGCCTGGTTGTTTGTGTCTTGAGTGAGAACTCTGGGTTGATTTGTTCAGTGATCCATTGGTTTGTTTTCTTGGCTGTCCACAGTATTCTCAGGAGCCTTCTCCAACACCAGAGTTCAAAGCGTCAATGCTCTTTCTCTCCTGCTTTTTCAAAGTTGAATTTTTGCTTCCATAAAGTGTTACAGGGAATACCATTAGTTGCACTATTTTGATCTTTGTAGGTATAGACATATCACAGCATCTGATGACTTCATAGACATGTCCATATCACCCTAATGGCAGAAAGTGAAGAAGAACTAAAGAGCCTCTTGATGAGGGTGAAAGAGGAGAGTGCAAAAGCTGGCTTGAAACTCAACATTAAAAAAACTAAGATCATGGCATCTGGACCCATCAATACTTGGCAAATAGAAGGGGTAGAAATGGAAGCAGTAACAGACTTTATTTATTTGGGCTCCAAGATCACCGCAGACGGAGACTGCAGCCATGAAATTAAAAGAAGCTTGCTCTTTGGGAGGAAAGCTATGGCAAACCTAGACAGCATATTAAAAAGCAGAGTCATCACTTTGCCAACAAAGATCTGGATAATCAAAACTATGGTTTTTCCAGTAGCAATGTATGGCTGTGAGAGCTGGACCATAAGGAAAGCTGAGGGCTGAAGAACTGATGCCTCTGAATTGTGGTGCTGGAGAAGACTCTTAGGAGTCCCTTGGACTGCTAGAAAGTCAAACCAGTCAGTCCTAAAGGAAATCAACCCTGACTGCTCATTGGAAGGATTGATAATGAAGCTCAAGCTCAGATACACTGGCCACCTAATGCGAAGAGAGGACTCTTTGGAAAAGCCCCTGATGCTGGGAAAGATGGAAGGCAAAAGGATGGCAGAGGATGAGATGGTTAGATAGCATCCCTGAAGCAATGAACATGAAATTGAGCAAACTCCAGGAGGCAGTGAAGGATAGGAAGGCCTAGCACAATACGGTTCATGGGGTCATGAAGAGTCAGACACAATGACTGAACAACAACAACAACAAATATATTTGAGTTGAGCTTGACTTCTGAAGATTGCCTCCATGCAAGTTTTCTTGGGAGTATTATAGAATCGGTTTGATGTTCCTTCCTTAGGAATGCTTTTTAGTCTTCTGCCCTGCACCTCTCACATTCCCAAATGGTCCCCCACTCCAGTGCTGACTTTGCTTAGCATCGGAGATCAATTTGGGACAGCAAGGTGCTATTATTTCTTGAGGCGTAAGGTGACTTAAAGGCACAGTCAGAAATTATTCCTATGTGAAAAGAAAAGAGAACAGGATAGAAAATTTAGTAAACTGTAAAAGAAATGTGAAGGAGGAGAAAAGATGGAAAAATCTCCAGAGAGAATTAAACTCAAATAATCTGGAGCTGCAGAGATGGTGTCAGGAATGCTCAGGCTGAAAATCAACAGAAGTTGGCAAGAAACATTCAGCAGAAAGGGCCTATTCATATATGTTCAGAGGAAAAGCAAAAAAAAAAACCCATCTGTCTATCAGTTGCTCAGTAGATTTGACAAAGAAAAAAAAATCTGAAATCAATTTTTAATTTGGCTCAGTCTTCTTCACCAAGGAGGTATGAATCCCTCCCTACATTGGTTAGACGTAACTAAAATCTATTGTAGTTGGACAGTGATTAATTCAAACAAACAAACAAACCTCAAGTATTTTTTCCCCCAAACTTAAGGAATTTTCAACCTGGAACTGTTGTGCTGGAGGCCAACAAGTGTTATCAGGACTAAAGTTAAGTTTCATCAAGAAAGACTGAAGCTACAGAGTACGCTTCACCTTGTAAAAAGGTGAATAAAGAGCAAACTCAGTGCTGGACATTCTTATGCAAGATGGTCCAAAAAAACTAGCTTTGAAAGTGTACCAGAATCTGCTTTCCCCAGCTTTGCTGATGAAGCACCAGTAATCATGCCCTTCATTCATGTTGAACTATGATGCTGTAAGGAAACAGATCCTCCTGTAATTCATAGAGGGAATCCCATTGTCTCTTCTCAACTTAGATAAAGGACAGTTTGGCTCTGCCCTAAATGTTGAACTTCCTTGATTCTATTGTTTTAGCAGAACATCTCAGACAAGCATAGTTTCACTTTATTAACCTAGCCATGGGGTTTAGTAAACATCATTTGGGTCTCTGACAGATATTAAATCTGAATTTCCACAATTTGGCAAGCTAGAATGAAACAATCCATATTTTAGTTTGTAAGCTGTAGTTTAGGGTAATTGTCATATATACCATTAGCCAAAGATAAAAAAAATATTAAGTTGAATTCAGCTAACATTTATCAAAATGTTTCACATTGTTGTTGACGCCAGTGATGAATTAGCCTCCAGTTAACATTTAGACAGTGGAGTACAGTCTGATATTTTAAGAAACTATTTATGTAAGAATTAAAACAATTCTATTCCATTCTCAGGGGCAAAGGAAGTCCTACAAACATTGCACATGTGGAAACTAGGATATTGTGGAACAAAGCAGAGCAGGCTGCTGCTGAGCCACTAAGATCATCTCCAAAGATCCTGGTGGTCAGTGGCAGGCCAGGTATTTATAGGGCAGAGCAGAAGGACACCCCTTAACTCCAGAGAGTTCACAAAAGGTTGTCTTTGCACGAAATGCTAAGGCAGGGCTACTGAATTAACCCTTCTGTCTGGATTCACAGGGCAGAAATGAGCCGGTCATATCGTCATTGGTTAAACTTGGGGATGATAACAGACTCAAGTGGGAAGCATTAGATTTCTTTATCACCAGTGGTCTTTTTATTGCAAAAAGCTAACAGTAACAGTGTCAAACCCACATGTTAATGTCCAGCCTTCTTGGCTTTAGGTGCTAGCATCTTCTGCTACTGTAGAGACTATTCAAGAAGACACAGATTTATGCTATCAATGGTTGATGCTAACTGTGGCTTAGCAGAATGTGTGAGCCCAGGCTCCAGGGCTCATGTGGAGTGGCTACTGATGATTCCCCCTGAAGAAACCAAGAAGCAGCTGGAAGGATGTCCTGTGAGTGTAGAGGGGATGGAGAGGGTGGCTGCCTCCGGCTTCCAAGCTCCTCTCCACAGGCACTGTGGAACAAAGTGCAAGGGAAGCAATGGGCCTTTGTCCCATCCAGCCCAGCTATTCTTACGTTCTGATAGAAATGAAATCCAGGAGAGGCTGGAGAAGATCAGGTCCAAGGAATTGAGGATCTAGTTACACAAATCCTCCTTTTCCCCCTTTTTGAAGATGGGAA